ACAGATCGCCAAAAGGAGCGCTTTGCCGAGAAATCGGACATACCAGCTCTGTACAATGATATGAGCCAGTCGCAGGACTCCTCCATCAAGCCCTGGACACCCAAGAAGGTAGTCATTGCCAAGGGCAAACAATCCGAGATCTCCATTATCGGCGATCGCAATGCAGAGCAGCCGAACAGTGATGAGATTGTTACCATTGACGACTCACCATCCGAAGACCTGTCCACTCCAGTTGTAACTACGCCTGCCCGCCGGCGTCAGTTGGGCGAATCAGCCAACAGCGAGTCCGGCAATGCCAATACGGAGAAATACAATTTCCGCAAACCACGCGGCCAAGTCGAAGAGGAGCCCAAAACAGTTTCTCCAACTGCTTCTAGCGACAATACACCTGGGCGTCTGATGCGCAAGCGGTCCGCGCTAAAGGATAACAATGGCGAACAGCCGACCACGCCTACTGAACGACTCCGTTCGCCCAGGAAGCAATCATCGAACCCTCAAGTAACTACGGATACTACAACAACAACAACAATAGCAGCAGCAGCTGCAGCTGTAGCAGGTAATATCTAAAAACCATCAGCAAATAATTTGTTTAGCTCATGTTTTCAATTTTCTCTCTCCCTCTGTTTCTCCTTCTCTTCGTACAGCTGTCAGCAAGAAGGCCAGACTCACCCCAATGCAGAGCGAGGATCTGTTTGCCGATTTTGTAACCCCTACACTGCCTGCACAGGTGCTGCCGGAGTTGACCAAAAAACCCTCAAGTGTGCCGGAAACGCAGATTAGTGCTTCTTCATCCGAACATGCTGTGGAATCGATAGCCAGCACACAGTTGCCATCGGAGCAGATGGAAACGAATGCAGAGACCTCGCCGAAGAAGCCAAATGCGCGAATCTGCAATTTGGTGAGTTCAGCTTTAATAGAAATCAACTCGACATTATACTAACTGAATCCATTAATTCCTTGCAGAACTCGCCGCCGGATCGCAAGCAGACCAACAACTCGACAAGTCCCACGCTGCGCCCCAAGCCGTCGGCTCATTTAACGGGGCGCGGGGCGCAGCTGATCAACATGATACGGAATAAGAAACTGGATGCTGGCGCAGCCTATCCATTAGGCGGTTCATCGACAACACGCAGCCATGCGACGCCCGTTCGTCATATTGAGCGCTCCGAGCAGGTGTCGACACCCACCTGCGAGCTGAACGAACTAGCTGCCGCGGAACACACGTCCACACCCATAGAGCAAGTGGCGAAGGATTTGCTAATATTTTCCAAGCGTCTGCCCTCGCCTTCGGCCAGTCCCTCGGCCTCAATACTAAAACGGAAGCTGCGCTGCGAGAGCATCGACGATTTTGAATCGCCGGCGCAGAAGCGTAAGCGTGTGAGCTTCCACGATCCACCCGTCTCTATAACGAAGGAGTATCTGCGTGATGTGGAGGAGTCTCGCAGCAGCAAGCCAAAGCGCGTCCTTGTGCTCGACAAGGTGGCCCAGAACCCAGAGTTGCGGCACGCATTGAAGCGACGTGGAAGGCTGGACAGCATCATCGAGATCGAGAGGTTTGCTAATGAGCAGACAGCCCGGAGTGCAGCGTTGGACAAGTCAATGGACAAGTCATCCTCCGATGCCACGGAGGATGAGCCTTTCGATTCGCTCAAATGGAATGACACAACGGCAGCAGAGAAGGAAGTGCAAAAGGATCTTTCAGATACCGCAGCAGCGACAGCTCCACAAGATCTGGCCATAATGGACGTAGAGTCCGCCTTGGACCTGGCTGTGGAGCAATGCTCGCTAGACGAAGTGCTAGAGCGTTTCATGGCCAAGTCGAATAACTCTCCCCTGAAGAGCGCACTTACCTTGGCCAAATTTCTATCGAATCAGATGAAGGGCAATGATAAACTGAAGACCAGTGTGCTGGAAACGCTCTCCGAGAATCATTCTAAAGACTTCCTGGACCATGCGGTGCGCGAGAATCTGTCCTCGGTCGTGTGCGATCGCCTCAATCCCAACTCTGTGCTGGAGTACATATGCGCCAAGTCGAAGATCAACAACAGCTGCCGCAGCAATCTGTTGGCTCAGGTGCCCACGATGGTACGCCAGGAAGCGGAGCGTACCGCTCTGATACAGCAGCTACTGCAGCAAAGCAGCTTCACCGACGACCAGCTGCTCGATCTCATTGGCCAGCTGATGCAGATGCGCAGCAATCGTGGCAGCTGCAACTCAGGCAGCGCCGGCATCGATGACAACGTGGCCGAAACGGCGGCCGACTCGTCCTCTAATCTATAATACCAAGTATTTTTTATACAACTATTTAGCGGCCATTATCAACGAATTGCTCATTCAACCTGATCAATGCAGTCGCCTCAGTTACATATAATTTTTGTAGTTTTTTACCGCTGTTTATGCCAAATGCTTTTATCATTAGCATCGATTAGATAGAAATACTTTTCTATGTGGCATTTATAGATTGCTTATCCAAAATTCACAATATTCGCGTATCGTTCAGTGAATCATTTAATCAATTGATTATTTAAGTTATGGTTAAATTTATTACAAATTCTAGTTTGTATTCTAATATATTTTCAGATAAACAACTGAACTCTCTCTGAATATCCTTATGGCTATTATTGTAAATCGCACTGAATTTAAATTGTTACAAAATTGTTAAACAACAAATCTGTGTAAAATCACATCGATTCATAGTTTTAAAATACCTGATTTTGATCTAAATTATCTGCATATATTTTACCAAACATACAGCAAATCAAATTTATATATTTTCATAAAAGTTTAAATCAGAAATGTTGAAGATTATATATAAACATATATAATAGAATTTGTAGAGATCTCCTATTTGTTACCATGTACAAAAGCAGTGTGAAACATTTTTATATAAATATATTTACAACTGAAATTTATTGATGTGCATTGCTGATGTAATCTGGATCTCTCCTTTTTCTCTCGTCCATCTCTATCTCTATAAGTGACAGTATCTCTCTCTCTTTCTCCCCTCCCTCTGATTATCTTCGCTGATTCATTAATAATGCCATTTCATTATCTACAGTTCTTTAATCCTTCTTCACTTATCGAGAGACGCACATTGCTATAACAATTATAGCAAAAACTCTTAAGTATGTTGCCATTCTGACCCACTAACCTTCAGTGGGCGACTCGGCTACTTAGTCTACGTACAGATTAGATTGGCAAGCGAATTTGTATGGGCAGCGAGCAACAGCTTGTTAGTATAGGTAAACGTATTTAAAGTACCAAATACTCATTTATTTACTGAGTATAATTCCATTGATATTGTTCACGTGCTGAGGAAGCGTAGCAACGCGAGGTTTATCAGTCGGCATTGTCTGCCGACAGCGTCTGTTGGTTAAGAAGCTTTAAAGCTTTCAAGCTTTTCGTGTTAGTGGGTGGAGGATTGGGCGTACGACACGCAACAGATGCGTGAATCGTGGCCGGCAGAATATGGCGAAAAGCTGTAAACCGGCCTAAACACCATTTTATATCAAATAGCGAAAAGTTATCAACAAGCTAAAGAATCGCCTGACAATTAGTTTGGGGGAAGGTCATTTGTAGGTCTGCACTTTGTGGGTCTGGGTCTGGGTCTGGYTATATAAATAGCATTTCAAATTCTTACTCTTCGTCTTGGCTACACAAGTGTTACTGACCTATCTCAATCAGCTACTGTTGCTTCTGCTGCTGCTGCTGCTGATGATGATGATGATGTTGCTGTTGCTGATGGACGTCATCATGCACGTCTAGCGTCTGGTCTCTGTCTAGAAAAAGTATCTTTGCCTCCCTCCCCCCGGCTCGATGTCTAATGAATTAGCACTGGATTCGTGCTGTCATAGCTTTGCCTATTTCATTTATGAACTGTCGCTAATGAATCATTTAACGGCGGAAAGCGGAAAGCGTGTAGCGTAAAGCACTCGACAAAATTTCGCTTATCAATGGGGTTAGTTCAAGGTATAACCGGAGAACTATGATAAAGTGTTTAGCTATAAATAAAATACAGAAAATGAATGAATATACGAATACATTTAGTATAATTTCATGTCAAATTTTGTAGAGTTTCGCCTAGAAATTTCATAGAACGGCCGGTAAAGGGAGTAATACTACCTCATATTACATACAGAGCGGGCAGTGCTCAAACAAATTAAATAATCACTGTCATGGGGCAAAAACTATAGGATGAATATGTCAAAGGGCGACTCACAAATAATGTAATATATTTTTGCTATGCAAATTGTTGACGAAGCCTTGTATAGTATAGTATGTCTGTACTTGATTCACTAAAATGACTCATGCGATAGCCTGGCATACCCATTGCGTATGCCAATACAGGGTATATCATTGTTAAAATATACGTGTCGAAAAATATATGAATAAAGAATCGCGTTCGGCTACTTACAGAAAAAATAAAAATAAAAATAAAATTGTGGGCAAAATAAATATAAATTTTCGCCGTGTGCCGTGCAGTTCATACACAAGGTGAACTCAACATTCACGAAGACAAGACGAGTGAGTGTGTGTGAAAAGTTTGTGAATTTCAATTTTGTTAGCCAATTAGAGAGCGGGTGGTTGCGAGCACAGCTGTTTTTGAGGGTGTGCGAGCAGCGGGGGAGCACGGCGAATTGGCCACAAAAAGCTGCACATGTAATTGCAACAGCTGCTGCTGCTGCTGCTGCTGCTGCTGCGACTGCATCCCCAGCGAAAAGCAGCCAAGCAGCCAACCAAATAGTCAGCTAGCCAGCTGTATGGGGTTATACGTGAACGGTCAGTGTTTAGAGCGACGACGACTATCAGGCAGAGCACACGGACGGGGTAGCAGAGCGACGAGCAGCAGGCAGAGCAGTTCATAAAATTCCAGCAGCGACGACTACGAACTTCCAGCATCAGAATAACAAACAGCGGTAAGCTTAATACACAGTTTGAACTTGCTTATAACAGACGCGCGGAACGTGCGGCAGCAACAGTCGAAGCAGCAGCAGCGWCAGCACCACCAACATCATACAGAGGGTAGCAGCCAACCGAGCCGAGTGTGAATAAAACTCTGATGTAATCATTCGCTGTTACGCTCGCCAAATGAAAAATATATCGAATCGCACAGAAACTTTTTAAGAATCGACGGTTTTGTGGCCACTGGGCAAAGTATACGGTATTATTCAGCTTTTATTGCGTGCTGCGAACAGTTTGGCTGGAAGCGACCTCAAGGTAAACATTCCCCATTCGTGTCTGGAAGCGCATAAACGACCCAACACAGACTTTGAATGCATTACATTATTTTTGCGTTTGCTCAACACTGGACAAAGCGATGTTTTGAGTCTCTGCTTACGCACTGCTGCGGCATGTCGTGGAATGGAGCGTGCCCATATCGATTTAATATACTTAGCGGATTTTTTTTTCTTTTTGCTGCCTATACGTGTGTGTGCGTTGGAATATTGGAATGAAACACACGCACACATACACATACACTCCCACAGTTGTTGCGCGCAAAAAATAGTTCGCAATACAAAAAAAGCTTTGCGCGCTCTCTCATCGTTTTAACGGTGTCGGAGCAGCTAAAGAGAGCGGCTAGCAGTGAGAGCGAGTGAGAGAAAGAGAGAGAGCTTACTAATAGGAAAACAACTGCTTGATATGCCGACTAATTATAGTATTATGATTTTTAATTAGCCAAACATCATTAAAGAGAGCGACCAGCTGCCTTAAGAGAGAGGATGTCGTCGCGTATGTTTAAATTCGGCGTTACCGCCGCAAGTGCCTGTGCAGGCTCTGTGATTGCTGCATGGAGCATCGATCGGTGGAATTCTCCACATGTGGTAACTGCATTGAATGGCCTAATTTATTAGAGGAACATTAATCAACTATCTAACTGTCGTTTACAGGTTAACAATGCCGTGCAACGTCCACCCAAGCGTAAGCGTACTCTGCCCATGCGCAGCGAGCAAATCAAATCCCTGATGAGCGGCGAAGAATACGATGTACTAATTATCGGCGGCGGCGCCACCGGCGCTGGCTGTGCCCTCGACTCTGTTACGAGAGGTAGACACGCATCACTTTCCTTGTTCCTTATCTTTACTCATCTCGACACACAAACGGTATTTTCCTTTCTGTTGGATAGGTCTAAAGACGGCGCTCGTGGAGCTGGATGACTTTGCCAGCGGCACCTCCTCGCGCTCCACCAAGCTTATACACGGTGGCGTACGCTATTTGCAGAAGGCTATTCTGGGCGTAAGTATAGCCTCAATAAAGATAAAAACTTCAAACATAAGTTAAAAGTAGATAATGAGAAATAGTTTTTATTTTTGTAATTTGAATTGAGTTGAAATTAATTATAATACTATTGGTAAATCCAAAAATGATCAGGCTCATCTCACATAAATGTTCCAGTTTCACTCTCATTAGACCTAAGACCGTAGTCTTTTTTCGTAAAGCTAGTAGTAATGCTTTTTATGAATATCTCTCATTATCGCTACAGCTAGATCTTGAGCAATATAGAATGGTTAAGGAGGCGTTGGCAGAGCGCGCCAATATGCTTGAGTCTGCGCCACACTTGACGCATCCGCTACCAATCATGCTGCCCGTATACACGTAATTAGCAACGATTTCTAATTGTATGATCAACTATATATATATATATATATATATATGTGCATATGTTCGCTTCCAGGTGGTGGCAGGTTCCCTACTACTGGGTGGGCATCAAGGCGTACGATCTGGTGGCCGGCGATCGTAATGTGAAGAGCTCCTATTTGCTATCGAAGAAGGATGCTCTGGAGCTATTTCCCATGTTGAAGAAGGACAAGCTGTGTGGTGCCATTGTCTACTATGATGGCCAGCAGGACGATGCACGCATGTGTCTGGCGGTGGCTCTGACAGCGGCTCGACATGGCGCCGTGGTGTGCAATCATGTTGAGGTTAAGGAGTTGCTCAAGAAGGACAACGGCAGCGGCAAACAGGTGTTGTGCGGCGCCAAGGTCAAGGATCATATCTCTGGCAAGGAATTTACGGTTAAGGCCAAGTGCATCATCAATGCCACGGGCCCCTTCACCGACACCATACGCAAAATGGACGATCCGACGGTGAAGAGCATCTGCTGTCCCAGTTCGGGCGTGCACATTGTGCTGCCCGGCTATTATAGCCCCGATCAGATGGGTCTGCTCGATCCCTCAACGTCGGATGGACGCGTCATCTTCTTCCTACCCTGGCAACGGCAAACGATTGCCGGCACCACAGATCTGCCCTGCGAAATAACGCACAATCCGGCACCAACTGAGGACGAGATCCAGTTCATTTTGAGCGAAATCAAAAACTATCTTAACGCTGACGTTGAGGTGCGTCGCGGCGATGTGTTGTCCGCCTGGAGCGGCATTCGCCCGCTCGTCTCTGACCCCAACAAGGATGACACACAATCCCTGGCCCGCAACCATATCGTCCATGTCAGCCCCTCGAATCTGATCACCATTGCCGGCGGCAAATGGACAACATACAGAGCCATGGCTGAGCACACTCTGGATGCGGCCATCAAGGGTAACTAGCTTGTCTATCAAATCTCAGATTATGATCGAATTAAACTGATTTCCCAATAATTCGTTCAGCTTGCAACCTGAAGCCGGAGCGCGCCGAGGCTGTCACATCGTATCTGAAGATTGAGGGCGGCCAGGGCTGGACACCCACCATGTACATCCGTTTGGTGCAGGATTTCGGCCTGGAGTGCGAGGTGGCCCAGCATCTGGCAAAATCGTACGGCGATCGCGCCTTTGCCGTGTCTAAGATGGCATCGCTAACCGGCAAACGCTGGCCGATCATTGGCAATCGCATCCATCCCGAGTTCCCCTACATCGATGCAGAGATTCGTTATGGCGTGCGTGAATATGCCTGCACTGCTGTGGACATGATTGCACGCCGTTTACGTCTGGCCTTCCTCAATGTGCAAGCCGCCCAGGAAGCGCTGCCCGCTGTGGTCGAAATTATGGGCGAGGAGCTGAAATGGTCCAAAGAGGAGAAGGAGCGCCAAATCAAGCATGCCACTGAATTCTTGGCCAACGAAATGGGACACACCATCAATCGCACGTCCAAGGAGAGGATACCCATTAAGCTATCCAAGGAGGAGATTCAGACATATGTGAAGCGCTTCCAACTTATCGACAAGGACAAGAAGGGCTACGTGTCCATTAACGATATCCGTCGTGCGCTCAAGAGTTTCGGCGATGGCGATGTCTCCGGCGAGCAATTGCACGACATACTCAAGGAGATCGACACCAACATGAATGGCCAAGTGGAGCTGGATGAATATCTACAGGTGAGTGCCCTTTCAATCCGAATTACAAGTTTATTTCTCATAATGCACAAATGGAAGTTATATAAGTATATAATATTGCGTTAATAATTGGAATCACTCGGAAGTCTTGACTCTTACAAAGTGTTAAAATTGTCATAGATATAAATGCATATATAAAAGCCGTTAAATTGCAAGCCTCATGTGAAGAGACAAGGGGACATTACTTATCACGAATCACTGTAAACATAGTGGAACAGAGTATGATTAATGTTAACGTATATACTATTAAATTGCACAGATGATGTCAGCGATTAAAACTGGCGACGTGGCCTATTCCCGTTTCGCTCGCATGGCTGAGCTAGAGGAACAGAAGCACGAGGCGGCCAATCTGAAGCAGAAGATCAGCGTCGATCGCTCCGGCGGCGGATTGTAAACGACTTAATAGACAAGGACATCACGCGTACATCTACAAGCACATCTAAACTAGGAATAAGCCGCAACGAATTATATACAAACTATATAAACTGAACTTCTTTACATTTTGCTGTTAATAAAGTCTTGAAACTCACCTCAGTGAGAAATCTCAATCGGTCCTTGACCTTGTGCTCCTAAAATAGGAAAAGGCGCCGATGGCAAGGGCACCAACGGCCACAGCGGCTATCCCAATTTGGGCAAGACTTGCTCCCTCGTTCTCCTGCTCCTGCTGTTGCCGCTGCTGCTGCTGCTGCTGCTGCTGCTGCTGCTGCTGCCGCTGCTGCTGCTGCTGCTGCTGCTGCTGCCGCTGCTGCTGCTGCTGCTGCTGCTGCTGCCGCTGCTGCTGCTGCTGCTGCTGCCGCTGCTGCTGTTGCCGCTGCTCCTGCTCCTGCTGCCGCTGCTCCTGTTCTACAGATGAACTTGGCCTCACGAATAGTATTGGCTTCTCCGCTGGCGTGTCTACGTTTTGAAAGAAAGTTAGCTAATCAGTCTTATGCCTTGTGTCAATTGCAGTCGTCTGTCTTACTGAATATCAATTTAATACAGTTATCGATGTCATTCGTCAAGTTGCCATCTGCACGCTCCAGCGTATAAATCACCCCCGTAATGCAGTTAAACATACCGTAGCGCTGGGTGTCTGTCAATGTGGCAAACAAGTCCAGTTTGGGATCCCAGAAGAAAGGTAATTTTCCATAGCGGCCAGACGTGGCCAAAGACGTATTTAGCTTTCTGAGCATCTAAATAATGTGCATTCGCAAAAAATAAAACACATTTTCATTCAATTATTTGAAACCGAAGATACAAGAAAGGACGTTCTACTCAGGGGCACCCGACCAGCAGGTACCGTCCTCTGACCAGAGCTGTTATTCCAATAATTCTAGGTTTTTATACCCTGAACCCATTGAAAATGGGAAATCAGGGTATAACGGTTTTGCGAAAAGTATGTAACAGGCAGAAGGAGGCATGGCAGACCCCATAAAGTATATGTATATATTCTTGATCATACGACGAGCTGAGTCGAGCCCTGTCCGTATGTCCGTCCGTATGAACGCCTAGATGTAGACTCGCGTATACCGTACGCAGTACAGGTTTATCAAATATTTTCGATAACTCATCCGATAATCGAGAATATTCGAAAAATGTATTTTGTTTTTTTTTTTCAGCCTAATTTGAAAAATTTTAGACCTGGAGACTTCAGATTTACTGTGTACATATATACATTTGATGAATAAGAAGATTTTGTAATTTACAGCCCCCTTCGTCACCAATTTGTAAAAAAACGTATTTCTAGGGTATCTCCTAGGCGAGCAGTCTTGACTAGAGCTTTCTTGTTATTTTTAATTTTAATTGAATGATATTCTGAAATGAGGAATTGATTTTTTTGGACACTTACTTGTATCAGCACATCCTTAAGCTGAGAGGTTCTCCAATAATCCGAGGGCTTTTCCTTAACTTGCCAAAGCAAAACAGTCTTTATGAAATAGCTTTTCAAGTTGCTCATATTTTGCTTATTGTCACGAAATTTCTTCATAAATCTTATGACTTCCTTCAGCTTGTGTTTATCCTTGAGCATAAGTAGCTCAGAGTCATAGTAGGAGGCACGGAATGAAACATTGTTCGGATCGATGGGCTTTAAAGGTTTCGGAATCGCCTCCCAAAACCCATTTTTAACAAAGTACTTAAGTTCCTCTTCACCCAAAATGTTTTGGCTTGCATTTAGCTTAATGGCTGGCACAAAGTCCACCGAATATTTGATATCCTTTGTGTCAATGAACATCGTGTGCGCCGGCCCACATCTCCTATACGTCACCTCCGTGATATTACCATCCACATTAATCTTATATTCCATGCCATTAAGCACCTTTGTCATGGCACTCGTGATCAAAGCCTGAAGCTTATGCTCCATAAGCTCATTTTTCGATGAAACCAATTTGATCAAATGTGTATATGTGACTCTATTGTGATCCTGGTTCTTTAGGATTTTTAACACTTCTGTCATGTTTAAAATAACATTGCCAGGTCTACAGGGATCCTTTTTCACAGTAATCCTTTCGTTTTCGGGAAACTTCAAGTGAATTACCAAATCGAATTCATCAGGCATTGTAATCTTCAAATTATCGCCATAACTTCCTGTTTTAGAAAGCAGAAGAATGATTGACAATTAAATGTACACAAATCGTTATCATCGAGGATTACTCACAATCTATATTTAATAATACATACATATGTACATATGTACACTGCCAACCAAATTGATAGCAAAACTATGCGCATAGTTCATTAGCGCAACGATTCTTATGTTAAATGTGTTATCGGGGGAAGTCCCGGTAATAAAAGTTCACACATACACATGTGTGGTTACACGCATGCAAACGTAACAGCACAAGAGCGTCATACATGTCAACATGATCATACATACATATGTACTTATATACATGTACATTTGTATGTATGCATCTATGCACATCCGCAATAAATTTATAAGATTATAAGTTTGAATGCCGTTTTACGAATACACAACTGCATAAAAGACGAAGAAGCAATTCCTTGCCTTCTTTCCTTGATTATGATAACACCTACCGCCCAGTTTGTGGCCATTTAGCCACTTGTCGAATGGCGCCACCGCCTTCAGTCCTTTGTAGATAGTATCTCGCAGAACGTTGTAATGTCTTGTAAACCCTGGGCGATCACGATCAATATTTATGTGCTTTCCGTGCGCGTCATTCAAACGGGATTCCAGAAATGGCATGATTGACTACTTCTTATTTTGCTGATCTTAACGTGGCAAAGAATAAAACTGAACTGAGTAACGAACTATCACAGTGAAATGCTCTCAATGGTAGGCATTGCTATTGAAGGTTCGCACTCTCTGTGTGCAACTTAAGCTGCTGAAGCAGTGACGTCACATGCTTAAAAATGTGATTGGTAACATTATTTATTTAAAAAGAAATCTATTTATTTTCGTTATTCCATTACAATAATTAGATATAAATAACAATATTTTGTATAAATATGTATATATAAAATGTTTTCTTTTCATGAATGCAACGGATAGACAGCTCTAGCTAAATATTCTTGAGTGCAATCTCTCTGTTTCCGACTATGAAATCCGTCAGCTCGGCTCTCTGTATATGTGCATGTGTGTGTGAAATGCTGGTACAGGCTAATGTGTAAGATACATATGTATGTGTAAAAGTGTCTCCGGCTGCACGGTGAATAATATATTTTCGGGATTCCCTGTTATGTWTGCAAGTACCATAAAAATAATTATAGATGTGCATTTATTCATATTATTATTATATTCATTATTATTATTCATATTCATTTGCATACATACATACATATGTATGTACATATGCATTTAAATAATTTCTCTGTAGATATTATTTGTCTAATATATTATTCTTAGTTCTCCTTAAACTTTGATTACTGCTGTCAAATCTAAGCAAGAACTGTTCTTACGTGCATACATACATACATATGTATGAATGTATGAACATACATACATACTTCTTCATACAGACATACACATGTATGTACTTATGTATGTGCTCATAGAGCGACGTCTAGATAAGCATATCAATAATAATAGCAGAAATATTCCCCTCAACGTTGTTGAAATAAGCAATCGATTTGATATATGATTAGAAATAAACACAAATAATTCTTTTATTGCGATATATGTATGTATATATGTACAATATATGTATGTGTGTACAATGTATGTATGTACATTTATTTACAAATGTACATGCTGAACCTTGCCGTCAGATTGTGTCTTTTATTTACGTCAGTTCTTTATGGCGCTCGTTATATGATTTCTTGGTGAAATGCGAGGATTGAAAATTGATTCGATGGTTACTTGACAGCCTGGAAAAAAACAAAATAAATATTTGTTTACCCAAATATTCACAAACAAAACGCAATATCCCAAATATCATACCATTCTCTAGAAGAAACAAAGCGCGATCATACAGAATAATGCTTTCGACTGCAGGAAATAAACAAAAATAAAAATCATAAATATTTATTTAAACGGAATTTAAAATCTGAGTAGCCAAACCTAAGGGTGCTAGCATAAGGCGTAGGGTATAAAAACAGACGATACGACGCCAATGCAAAAGATCTGCTTCGATTTGGTCAGGATTCGTTGCCTGCAGTAAGGCAAACTGCGTGCCCTCGATAGCCTTTTGAAAATAGCTGAAAAKGATTTTAATTTATGGATTAATATATATATATTTTTTTTAGAATAGGACATATTTTATAAATCTAAATTGCGTTTCATCTTACTCGTTGAAGCTCATGCCAGGCACGTGTTTCACATTGCGCAACGCCGAATGTCTTAACTCGGGCAAATGCTGAACAATAATGCGTTCGGCTGCTGCGCGTAAAGAATGAATCTTCAGATATTCATAGTCTCCAGATTGAAGGCGGCTGCTGTACAATTCCATGGCATGGCAAGCAATTTCGCGTGCCTCATAGCTAAGCTGAGAGTTGTCAGCGCTCTGCAGTTGTGAGCTAAGCGGATAGCCATGCAGCTTCATTTGCGGGTGCGTTGCTCGTGTGCTCATCTTTTGATAGCAGCAGCCCACGAAATTTAAAAATTTAGCTTGCTCACAGCTCAAAAACATGCGCATTAGCGTGCCGCTCAGATCACCACATGGATGCAGCCCAATGATCCCAAAACTGAAATTAGAGTCGGACAATTGGAATGCTTGTCGTATACTCTCGATGAACTGTTCTGGCGTTGTGTCGCTGCTTAGACGTTGAGTGAGATGCGCAGGTCGTTTAAAGTGGATTGTTTCGCTGTCCTCCAAGTGTTTTGCAGCCATGCTCTCCAGCTTGGCATCGATTTCCAGTGCTTGTCCATTGAGAGCTGCCTGCATTTCAAGACAACACACATTGATGCCATAGCCGTAGCCCAGTACGCGCGCCAAGTGTCCTACGCCAGCTCCAAAGTCAACGACAAACGAAATTGAGGTCTCTTGGCAGCTCCTCGCACAGATTGCAGCCATTCTTTTAATTTCGTGCGATTTTTTCGGCTTCACACACTTCATGAACATGTGCTTCAGTTTACGGTGCTCCAGAAGCGGGCATGATGGCAGTGTAACCTACAATGTGGTTATCTGAGAATATATCGAATCATAATTGACTAGCTTACCAACATCGATCTGCTTCGTTTGACTTCTTCGGATGCATAGCGACCGCAGCACTTGCCGCAGTGCCAGCAGTTCCAAGGGCCATAAAACACGTGCAACACCATCACTGTGCTGCAGTAGCTCGCTCAGGTGTTCTACGGGTAAGTCCTCCAATTGTTTCCGCCAGCTTTGTGGCAGTTTGCTCCAGTGGTCATCCACATAGAAGTCCTGAAGTATTGCGAGATTCAAGTTATCTCGATTTTGGTTGAGTTGGGATAACCTACCTACCAACACATAAGCGTCCAGTAACCATTCGTATTTCTTAACAACATCTAAACAGGCAGAAAGTTTTTTCTTAATATTAATCATATTGGTTAGCTATAACAACGGTGCCTAACAGCTGATTTTTAATTAGGCGCGAACGAAATTGTTTTAAAAGTATGTATTCTTATTTTTATGCGCAAACAGGTAAACAAACAGGGCTGCGTACAATTATCGATTATATTCAAGTTCGAATCAGTAATCGATAGCTCAAAATAAAAGTATTAAATCATTTCAGTATTTTCGATCATCAGATAGAGCTTTCGATGTTTCGTTTTCAACACTAGTAAGTTGTCTACCAATAATAATAAAAGAAAACACGACGGTCGGGCCTAATTGGCCATAAATATAATCAAAAAGAAAACAAGAGAACGTAAGGTGCTACAAATTGCAAAAATGAACTTGGAAGTGATGTATTAAAGACTACATGTGCCATTTATTTTCAACTCCCCAAAGGGTGGAAACAGTTATACACAGATACATCCACACATATTGGCAGTGCCGTCAGCGAAAGCAAAGTGAAAATGCATCTGGAACCAACAAATGGCAATATTTGCAAGCAGATATGAAAGAAAACTGCCAATTGATGACACCGAGGCAATAAGCTGCGAAATCACAACAGTCGAGCAGGTCGACGGTCATACGGTGAGTGTATGACTTCTGAAAATTTATATCCCCCAACAGAAAAATCAATAATGAGCGTCGCAGCTGCCGCTGTCGCTGCGGATTTGTTAATGACGGTGTCTGACTCTCCTCTGTGTGTATAGGTATATATATGTATATATATTTTTCAAATATACAAATGAGGTGTGATTTTTGTTGTTGCAGGAATACCTGCTGCGCGTGCAGAGAGGTGATAAGTCCTGGAATGTTCTTCGCCGCTACAATGAATTTAACAATCTGCACAAATGTCTTCGTATCTCTGGCATTGAACTGCCGTTGCCTGGCAAACGCATCTTTGGTAATATGCGACCGGACTTCATAGCTGAACGGAAAGAAGCATTACAAGTTTACATAAACACAATACTAATGAATCCCATTTTGGCATCATCGCTGCCAGCCAAGCGTTTCGTTGATCCCGAAAGCTACTCGCAATCATTCCATGGTAAGCGGACTATTGGAACTGTAAGTGAAATCAACTAATTCTAAACTTAATTCCAGACCATGCAGTGCAAAATGCAATGCTCTGCCTACGCAACGATACGGTGTGGGCCCTGGGGCCCACCATGGGTGCCATAGGGTGGCGGCTGCGCAAGCATTACTTTAAGGTGACCACCAAGCCGCCAGAGAAGGGTAGCAACAAGTTGGTTAAGAGTGGTTCACAGAATCAGCAAAGCAAACATTTTGCTGCTGGCAGCAATGGCGGCGCCCACTCGGTCTCGATAGATGCAGGTTCAGTAGATCCCAATGCAGAAATGGTAGCTGAGTGGCTGGAATACGGACCAGACAAGTACGTCGACGAGAAAGAAATGCATGGCGTGCTGAAGAGTCTAATGGGTCTTCAGCATCCGCACATTGAGCCCGTTGTGTTTGCTGCGCATACAGAGAACGGTTGCTTGGTCATCAGAAAGTAAGCACTTTTTAAAGTTGTCCATAGATATATTTCATGCGAAGACTACTGCTCAACAGATTCCATAAGCATGGCACCCTCAAGGATGTGCTTTGCATGGCCACGCCAAAGAATCCGTTTTTAAGCAAGTACGGCAATCCCAAGGGACGGACAGCACTCTCCATGAAGCAAGTTGCTACCTATGGCAAACAAATCTTAGAAGGTCTTATATTCCTGCACTCAAAGGGCTATGCTTGCGGTAAGCTTCATTTAAATTATATCAAAAGGGAACATATTTATATTATTTCTATTATAGGTCACCTACATTCGGGAAATATTGTCATTGTGGATGACTGTGTTAAGCTGTTGGACATCGAGAACCACTTACTTGGTGTGCCTGCATTTTATCGCCCATTCTTCGTACAACACAGCAAGATTCATACAATTGAGACAATTGACGTCTACTGCTTTGGCCATGTTCTATTCGAGATGGCTATGGGTTATCCGCTCCAAGAGTCTGTTGTGCGTCAAATAACGGAATGCCCAGAAGCGTTAAGTATGAATGCATCAATAAGCAATAAATATCTGAATGGAGCTAATGGCATTTCTTAACTGACAGAATCTTTGTTGGAGAGCATACTATCGAAGGAAGCATGCAAGGCCGGCCTGCCAACACTGGATCAATTGATAGGTCATCGATTTTTTACGCAGTACGCAACAGAGAGTGCAGTCACATCCGAGAAGCCACATTTTAAGCTGTCTTTGGTAATACTGAATAGGAATTTACGATAAT